GGGGGGGGGGGGGGGGATCGACCAGAGAGGGGAGACATGACAAGTGCCACATGGTTTCGGAGACAGCAATGTTCGTAGTACACCCAACATACCGAAGACACTTTATGGTTCGGCAATGGCAGAAGAGAGTTGAGACAGACGCGAGCCCATGTGGGTGAATCCAGACGCCAGTGTTCGGTCAGGTCCGTCCATGGTCCCCGAAACACAGAGCGGGCGACACGCCAATGCACTAGAACGGTACCACTTGTTTCCGAGCACAGCAGGTAATCCAACCGCAACAAACGGCAGGGCAGCTCCTTCAGAAGACACCAGACGCAAGCACCAAAAGAGGGTACTGTACCTGAAGAGGGCGGTGAAGAGGGGCTCCGCCGCCTTGACGATGTGCACGAAGCTAACGGCACCGGCTANGGGGGGGGGGGGGGGGCACGGGCACATCTAGTTGGAGCCAGGTCAGCGAGATTGATGTTGACTGAAACGAGGAAAACAGGACGCACATGAAAACAGGGGCACCGGTGGAACACCCACCTAGAGCTAGCTAGCTCGATCAATGTTCGTGATTGCAAACAGAGAAAAAATGACTCCAACGAACGCACAAGAAAAAATACACCTTGCCTCCTGAGTGGGATAAAGGGAAGAACCGCGGCAGGGGGAGATGCACGAACATGCAAAACGCAAAAGGATGAAAAACACAAACACGTCGTCTTCTGCTGTGGACTGTTCAAACCAGACGTGTGAGCACATACAAATTGTAGTCTTACAGCCCAATAAAATTCTTGATATTCTTCAGAAAGATCCAGAACTCAGAACATACCTCCGAGTCCGATGACGGCGCACACGTGGCTGAGCATGTGGCAGGCGGCAATGGGGCTGAGGCCCTTGACGTTGGCCATGGTCAAGCCGGGAGCGTCGCGGAGCTTGAGCATCCACAGGGGCAGCACGAAGATCGACCCCACGACAAGCTGGAGGACGCTGATGCTCCACGGCAGCGCGATGGCGTTCAGAGCTTTCTGTTAGATGGGGAGGAGGGGGGAGACAGAGGATGTCAAACGAGACGGCATTATCCAAGACATGAAGCGCAAGCGGGAGAGAGCGACATTTGTTGCTGCAGCGCAATCCCAAAGCCAATCAATCGCGACCGAATACAATTACAGGACCCAAAGGCAAGCAGGCACATCGAGCTTGGGGCGGCAACCTCTACGTGCAAGCGGCGTATCTACCATCAGACGAGCTCGGCTGGACTATTTAGTTCACGGGCGAGCAGGTTTTCAGCACATGGTACTGATGTGAATCCATATACAAACCACCGGAGATAACGCGCGAATACGTTGAATGCTCCAACAAGAAAATCTACACATCTCGGATTGGTCAAAGTCTATTTTACTTTTCTGAATAACAAGGACTGACCTTGTTGGTAATGTTGTAGCCGATGTTGAGGGCGTACCTGCACCATCGCCGTCGTCAGTCGACCAATCCCGTGCGCAACAACAACGAAAAAAAAAGGTAGAGACGCAGCATGAAAAAAACGAGCAGAGAAAAACAGACGGAGGTGATCCAACGGCGGTGAGGGGTCGGAGGAGGGCTGCATGGCCGTTCGGGCAACAAGGAGGTGTCGGCCGACATCACTTACCCCAAATGACCGGCAACAACCAACGGCCGCGCAACCCGGCCGACCAATGACACCAGAAAACTTCGGCAAGGAACACCACCCACACAAACAATACAACCACTACAACGGTACACGCTAACAGTATAGAAAACTATTTCCAACAAGAAAAAGAATAGTCTACGGCAGCCGAACACATCCACATCCGGTCCGTCGCCTGGGGGGGTGTACTCATAGTCGTGCATGCCGTAGTCGTCAGACCATTGACCTCGCATCCCTACAAAGCCGGGACGGAGCACGCCGGGTTCGCACCGGACCAGGCTCTCACATCACCGAGCGCGAAGCGCCGTGAGATATTCGGCGAGTCGCATGAAGGGTGCGCTGCATCCTGCTAAGGGTGTTCGGCATCTTGTGCTTACTTCCTTGCGTATGGATGACAGCTGCGTATGACTTACTTTATTTTCTGGTGCTTTCACTTCCAGAGACAGTTGTAAGCACTGTGTAACTGCCTCGAGGGTGCTTGACCATTTCAACACAACGTTGTGCGATCATCCCCCTTGCGCGGAGCGAGAGTTCTCCACCCCGCACAACATGATCTACTCGACCACCAGTATGGTTACCGCCAAAAAAAAAATGGAGGTAAAAAAAAAAAAACGATAACCTGGTTGCCGAGTTCACGAAGTGAATTGGCTTGTTTTACAACGTCTTTGCCAAGCAACGAAAACCCAATCCCGATGGCAAACACCGGGGGGCGTGGGCGCTGGGGGGGGGGATCGATTTCTCCATCACTCCACGTCGACAAGCCAAACACAAAAATAGCAGTAGCTGCGATGCACCCAAACCAATCGAAAGCGGGGCCAAGACGGCGACAAGCAAACGACCCCCACTGTCACACCCACAAATGGACCTAGAGAGTCATGATAGTACAGAGGTTCCAGAACCGCAAAGAAACAGGACTGCTTACGCAGGATTGCAAGAGTCTCTAAAACAATAACAGGGAGGGGGCACGCAGACCCTATCGCTCACCCTAACCCTAAAGCACGGATTGAATACCTTATCCCATATGTTTGCTTAAATCCACATTTTGCTGCGTAGACTAGTCGAGAACTAGCGACTTGGCTGCACCAAGCGAGGAGAAAAGATAGACCTCAGACACAGAGCAATCCCCGCACAGAAATCAGGCAAGCACCGGAGAAGATACACACACCACGGCCGAGTGCCTCGTAACGGCAACGGAGTCGTGTTTTTTCCCTTCTCCGAGTACTCTCTAACTCCGGAGACCGGACCCTGTCGTCCAATCTCCTCCCCCCCGTATATGCGAGCCCCCACTGCTGTGAAGTGTTACAAAAGCAACCCCTCTCTGAACAGAAACCTGGTAGGCATTTCCATGCTTATTTGCCCCGCTGTGTAAGCCTGACGTCTTTTCATTCGTCACCCGTTTCGATGCTAGTCCAAGAAGCAGCAGTCATCCAAGTACACCAATTCTGTATGCCGCCTCCGCCAAGACTGACCTCTCCCCATCAACAATCACCCCCTGCTAGATACCTCTCTCCATGCCACGCCCTAAATCTCAATCGCAATTGTGGGACACAAAACACACCCCGCACCAGATCCCAATCGCCGTCCGGGCACGCGCAACCTCGCTCACCAGAGGAAGAAGTAGATGCCCACGATGATCGTCTGGCTCTTCTTGGGCGCCGGGGGAGCGGCGCCGCGCCCACCGCCACGGGTGATGGCAAGGGCAGAGTCAGCGGGGGCAGTCGTCGACAGCTGCTTAAGGTCCACGGGAGCGAGCGCGGAGACGGTGGGGGCCTGCACCGCGCCGGGCGTGGCGAGAGCCCCAGGCGCCCTGAAGGTAACCCCCCCCACATACACACGCCGAACGAATAAAACACACACAACAAAGCGGCGTCGGTACGCAACGTCGAGATTAGGGATGGGATCAACTTGCGTCTTTGAGTGGGTCAATAATTTACAGGGCGAGGAAACAAACGGGAACATTCGCGGCAAACAGGTGAAACCCGGAGATTAGGCTTGTTAATGGTTAAATTCAGCAGTTCTGAGAGGTGCTAATTTTTCCGTATGTCAAGTCAAACACAGGGAAGATGCGGAACGTTGACGTTCTCAGGGTTGCCTGCAAGGCATCTATCATCTCTTGTCATTCATTCGGACAACATCAAGCAATTCGGGATTGCACCCTCAAGGTCCAAGTGTTTGTGGACCCATGTCGTCCGTACAGGGGGTGGGTTGTTTGGGCGGGGTGGCTTGGCGGACGGGGCGGCGCTGATTCCAAAACAAGAAAAGTAGCTCTATGGAGTTTGTACAACCAATTGTTTGTCGAGACAGTCTCTAATGGCCATGACGAAGATACTTGGCGAGTGCTCTTCATCGGCACCAAAAGTAGCATTGTAACGGTTGTTTCGTGGACTGCTGCGCCGTGTGAAGTAGCGCGACTGCGGCGAGTCTCTGCCGACTGCCGCTCCCCCTCGCCGACTAATGCGTCAAGCGTGGTCGTCCCGGTGATGCTTTGTGCTACGATGTAGATCGTTGTCAGAACACGTCATCATGAGGTTGGAGATAGAGAAGAGCGGCCTCAAGGCACCAGCGAGAGTTAGCATATGGATAAGACGGGGGCCGGAAAATGCACCACCAAGAGTTATCGAACAAGCTAAAAGAGCCAACACGTCAACGCCGGGTAGCAGATGCAAGGTCATGGTAGCAGCGCGCGTGACTTGCTTGAGGTGATCGCAGGATGCTGCTGCCCATAAAGCACACAGGCGAAGTATGTGTCGGTGTAATACTTGACATGCGTGCTGGCGCAAAGCTTGCCGAACATTACATGCACGGCTGCTGCGGTACAACGTCCCAGCCGGCTTCTAGCCATTCGGGGTAAAATTTCTTCCATGTTATTTCGTCCTTCCACAAAACCCCGTCGCCAAGGTATACAGCTCTATGACGTTAAGGCGTACATTAGGGGTCTTCGCAGGCAGGGGTAACGCAGGAGCAAAACGCAACGCGTTGACTGATTGTTGTGGTCGCTGCCACTCTTGTACTTTCAACAACGTTCAAGTGCACTACAGAAAAATATATATACTTCATTCAAGTAAAAACGCCTACAGCACGAGTACCAGCGGTAGCGGAGTAGCGGGCCCTCGGGAGTCCCGGCATGAACCAGACCAGCTCACCCGGGGGACTATTCAGAACAGGGATTATAAACGATTTTAGTGCAGGAGTGTACACTCGTGCCCAGAACATTGACTTTGACTTCCAACAAGCGCACCACTTTGTGTTCATCCGGCAATATTTCTGAGGGCCCTCCAGAGCGAAGGTAACACAACGTGCGACGTGGGGTGCATCTACGACGGAAATAGGGGGGGGAGTCAGGTGTCACTTGGACACAATTATAATCTTCCCATCATCCGGCCACACTAGAAAGGATGCCCACGCCACGCAGTTCCGCTCGACTTTTATGCATACAGTACACTCGTCGCGAGCAACCTTGCCGATTGTTGGGGGTGAATGAAACAGAGCCGCTTGAACGGTTGTTACGAGCTTCCGAAGACGAGGGGGGGGGGCGCGACGGATGATTTTTTTTTCCAACGTTTGTTTTTAGCGTCCGTCTCCTTTTCTCTCCCTGCAAACCAGGGTTGAACAAAGAGACCATCAAGGATCGCGAGGCACTCCTTGGCCTCAGAGAAGGGTGCGAAGCGCCAAGTGACTTGCGCATCCATGCAACACCAGTCTGAGCCTCACATATCTTATGCGTGGGTATCGGTTCAACTTGAGAGCTCCCAGCTACGACCCACGATATGGGACAAGCGAGCGAACACGCGCCGCACACGCGCGCATCTTTTGGGTGGTTCGTTGACGTTTTTATCCTTTCTGCGCGAATAGCGGGAGCGCACCCGCGTGCATTGGTGGCGCAGAAACGACGCGAAAATGACAATGCCGTGCCATGACTACAGGCGCTGAGGAATGGTAGCTCAGAGATTATGCGAATCCCTGCCGTTCTCATTCATGAACGAACCCTACATCGCTCGCTCAAGTGCGCACGAGCAAAATACAGCGAACGACCAAAGACCCCGGAACACATTTTACACAGCGGCTGGACAATTCCGGAGCGCGAAACTCACCTGGAGGGCACAAACGCCGACGCGCTGCCAGCATGGCAGGCAGCGCCCACAAGAGCAACAAGGATTCCGTTCGTGCGCATGATGTATTTCCGTATGTGTGTTTTCGCGAGAAGACCTTGCTTGTGCGTGCGTGTGACCGCTACTGCCGCCGCCTTGCACCCCTCCTCTCTACGGCTGCAAACTGCGGGGCCTCCACGGGGCTCCGTGCCCGATCTGGAAATGTGTCATGTCAATTCACATCAGCAAGTCAGCTGTGACAGCTCTAGCAAGCATTACCTCGCTCTCGAGCTCGATCAAGGATGACGGGGCCGCTGAGACGAGATCGTGTAGATGGTCAACCCACGTACAAACCGTCGTGTTATGTGGGGAACATGACGATAGCAATAGCCGTTGCCACTGCAACTTGGATGTCGCATGCTGCAGCTGCAGCTGCTGCTGGTGCTGCTTCTGCTCGCGATTCTGCGCTCTTTGTCGTGCCTGTGACCCGGCCGGGAGCGCCGGGGACGAGGATGTCTAGGGGATCCGAGAAGGCTGTATTGTCGTCGGCGGTAGGGATGCAGCGGTCGAGGTGGTGCGACAGGAGTACGGGGGGCGCGCGACGCACAAGGGCCTGGGTGCCAGGATTGGCGGCCTCGTCAGATGATGTAAGTGGAACAAGGCGAGCTATTAGATAAACCACCAGGCCTTGCTAACACGAAGGTTTGCTCGGCAGCAGTGCTGCGATGCTGTGCAATGCTTGTCGATGTGTACGCTTTCCCTGCGCTGTCCGTTGTATTGTTCTACTTCTACTCTCTGCGAACAAGAAAAGATCGTGGCGAGAGAAAACGAACAAGTTGAAGAACGAAAGATCATTTTGGTGTGTGCAAATGGCCGCGTATATACGAGAGCCTGCTGTGAAGGTATCTGTGCAGTCTGCCGAACCAAGCAGTCACTGCGGGAACGGCAAGTACTGCTGTAGTCGAGGTTCCAAAATGAAATAGGGTTGGGTACTGGCGCTGCGCGCCAGTAAAAAGTATACTGGCTGCTGACGCAGCCAGTAAACTGGATCCGATCAGTACACTGGTGGCGCGGCGAAGCCGCGCGGTCGCGGCTGCGCCGCGACCATCGGCCCCCCCCGGCTGGTGAGGGGGGCC